CCGCCGCCCCCGCCACCCGCCGGCGGGACCGGGCCAGGGGGAGCAGGAGAGCCTCCTGCTCTCGGGGCCAGCAGGATGTCATCGTCGTCCTCCTCCTCTAGATCCTCCAGCTCGTCCTCCCCGGCGTACGAGCGCCGCCTTCGCTGCCGCGGCGTGGGGACAGCCAGCCGGGGGCCGCCGTCGCCGCCTTCGTCCTCGTCGTCCTCCTCTTCCTCGTCGTCCTCGTCCTCACCTTCCCCCACCACGTCGATGTCTGTCTCCTCGGCAAGGCCGGAGGCATCGGACATCTCAGTGCTCAGGGTCATAGCTGTGGCGCGGTGGCGGCGGCGGCAGCGGGGCGGCGCATAGAGGCGCCGGGTTCCCGGCTCCCGCCGCGCCTCAGCCTTGGTCCCGGGCAGCAAGCCCGGCTCGGTGGCGCCACGCTGGGGGGCGTCTGCTGCCTGAGCTGCACTGGGGCCCCCCCAGCGCCGGCCGCGGTTCTTGCCTGCGACTTTGTTAACTCCTGAACTGCCCTGCGCTCAACGCACGCTCCCCACCCAGGCAGAGGACTTGACCGTTCCCTCTCCAAGCAGCCCTCGCCGGGTCAGCTGAGGAGTGGATGGTGGGATCCCGGGCTAAAGAATGGGCTCTTGGGGCTCTCGGGAAGATACGGGATGGGCGAAAGTCTAGGGACAGAGCTCGGCAAAGCCCGGGCTGAGTCCAGGAGAGGGCGGACCTTCCTGGGCTTATAGCAGAAGGGGACCTGTCACATGGTGCGCACGTCAGAGCGCGGCCGGGGAAAGTGAAGAAAGTCTAGGAAAGCAGCCCTGCTCTGGAGAGAAAGTTCACCCGTAGGAGGGGGAAGCAACTGAGGAGGGAAGAGAAAGGACCCCTTCATTGCAGGCCACAGGGACTGAGGCCTGAATCTCGGTGTTGCTCCACCGTGGTCTAGATGGAGGGCTGCTGCACGTGTTAGAACTCCCGGACCCTTACTCCTAAATTTGCCCTCCACCCTAACTTCACTGGCACTCGCCCGAGCTAAGGCTCTTGACCACTCAGGGGTCTGAGGAGCCGTACAATTGGGGGATAACGTCCCATGCTCAGAGGCGATTTCAGGGAATGACCCTGAGGTCTGTTGGGGTGTCCCAGTTCTTCCAGACTGGGGAGCAGCTCCTCCACCGAATCTGATTAGAAACCCTCCAATTTAAGCACAATAATAATTGTTTATTGACCCTTTAACCCGTCCCCTTTTGGTTCTTCTCCAAAGACGTTTGTTTTCCACCATCTGGTAATAAAAATGCTGTTAGGCTGGCATTTTGGTCACTTATCCGCATTTGAATGCCCCGGAGACTTGACAGTTAAACTAAGCCACTTTAATGAGAAGATCTAACAAATTTCATGAGAATAAAGAAGAAAGTAATAATTGAATGTGGAACAGAATTTTTTTTTAATTTAAGAAAACACACAGAAAATTCTATCTAGGAATGCCTCAAAAAAAGTTCTTTCCTGGAAAATAATTTTCGTAATGAGGATCTCAATGCAAGGAACATTCTAATCAATACTTCACCGTATTCTTAAACTATTTCAATTACTATAACACTTAGGCAGACTTAATAATAAAAACTATAATGATAAAAGCTTTAAGACCAGCTTTTTAAAATGTGTTTTTTTAAATTCACTAAATATTTCAAATAGCTGCTGGTGAAAAGATAAGTTTTTTATTTTTGTTTTTTTTAAGATTCACGTTCCATTCAATTTTCTTTTATAGACGACAAGGTAGGGGAAATCTAGTATGCTATTTTAAGTATCTCGAGTCCTGGTGGTGTGCTGTAGGATAAGCACTGGGCTACTAAGGTCAGCTGCTCCTCAGAAACCTTGAGTCAGAACTGACTTGAGGACACTTAACAACAACAATATAAAAAGAGAGCCCTGGTAGCAACTTGGTTTGGCTGGCTGCTAACAACAAAGCCCTAGGTTCAAACCCATCAGCTGCTCCTATAAAATCTTACAGGCACAGAAAACCTTTAGAGGATTGATATGAGCTGGAATCAACTGGATGGCACTGGAGTTTTTATTGTTTTTTTGGTATCTTTATTAAAATACTATATTTCAGCTAGTGAAAATCTGAGTAACTCATTGAATCCACACTCACAGAGCTATACTCTTTGGACATCTGCATTTCCGAAAATGCTTCTATTTTCAAATTGGGCCCTTGCCTCAAAATTTTAGCTTCCTGATTTCAGTGACCATTTGACAACTGAATATGAAAATGAAGTGATTTTCTATAGACACAGTCATCAGCTGCCCTTGGGTATATCATTTTATCGACCAAGTACTTTTCATGTTTTGAAACGTTTCATTACTCCCCTTATTAATCACAAAGTCTCAAAAATAAACTGTTCCCATCTGAGACTTTTTTTTTAAGCTGAGTTTTTGTTGCTGAAAATGCCTATCACAAGTTACATTTACAAATTACCCGTAAAGTCCAGAGTTGATCTTTTAAAGGTCTATATGAACGCTTTAATATTTAGAACACATTATTTTTCATTGGCTCTCCCTTGATATATGGCTGAGCCATTTAATTGTTGTAATGGACTCAGCACTAACCTGAGCCAACATTAATCAGCACTATTAATCAGGCATTACATTGCTTTGTTGATGTAGCCTGAGTCCTTACCAAGAAGTTCACCTTTTACATAGGAAAGTTTACGTTTTAAGTACTCACTCGGTATCTAAATAAACACCATGATTTTCGCTGGAATCAAGGTTGGTGTGTACCGAAGAATTTAAAGATGAAACGGAGAGGGGAAATTTGTATGCAAACCATTAAGTTGCTCTGGACAATCGGTTACAGCCTTCATTCCGTTAAGGGTTACTACCACCCTGAACTTGTCTGGCTAAGAAGGGCGCGGAGGTGAACTTTGCGTCTGTTGGTAACTTTGTACTCAGGTCCCTCCCCCAAAGGCTTAAAGGGCTCTTCCCTGGAAACGTTTGAAATATGTGACAAATTATCTCTGGCCACTCCGAGGAAAGCGTTGGGATATTTATTGAAGGTCAGAGCTGAAGATGAACCCCGAGGGACTGCAGCAGGGGTGGCGAGCGTTGAAGGCGATTTGGGGCAAGCTTTACTTAAGTTCCACATTTGAGCATCCCGCTGGCTTTGCTTGATTTAGTTAAACTGCACATATGTGTGCTGCCTTAGCTATGAGCCTGTGAGATTCCCAAGCGCGGAGACCCAGGTGTATTCCCACGTGCGTGCGTCCCCGTCCTGCTCTCAACCCCCCCCCCCCCACACACACACACACACACACTAGTCTGCCACCCTGTGACCTCCCTCCCAGACGCTTTCCCGTGCTCTTGGGAACCTCCGCCCCCACTCCCAGCGGATTGTTGTTGTTAAGTGCCTTGGAGTCGATTCCGACTCACAGTGACCCTGTACAGGGTTTCCGAGGCTGTAAATCTTTTCTGGAACAGAAAGCCTCATCTTTCTCCCGCGGAACAGCTGGTAGTTTCGAGTGGGTACAAGGGACAAAAACCTTTCTCAGAGGCAGGCCTGGGTGCTAGGCAGGGATTCACGCAGACGTGGGTGAGGTGCCGGGGCGGCGGGGAAGTGATGCCCCCTGGCGACTGCATGGTGTCATGCTGGTCCCGCCGGAACACTCCTCAGCTGGTGATTGGGAGTATGGCCGCTAGGATTTCTGTTTCTTGAGACCCCCAACTCTTTATCCGGGGCCACTGCGTGGACGTGGAAACACTTTCTCCTACTGCAGCTTGAGACTTTATTCCTCGGCAGTTCGGGTGTTCCAAAAGCGAGCCAAGCCCCTATGCGATGCGAGGTGGCCCTCCAGAGGCGATGCCTCTGCCCATGGCTCCTGGTCCCCTGCCGAGAGAGTGCCCCAGCCCCGGGCCAAAGCCGCCAGAAAGCTGAAAGGGGTGGGGACATGAGCTCCTGAGCTACTCCCATCACAGTCCCTTGCGCATCCCTGGCGGTTACCTTAGAACTAACACGAACAGATTTCAAACCCTGCACACACCTGGGAAGCATTCCTCCTTTGTAGAGTGTCACCACAATCCTCCCATGAGATACTTACTTACCTTGTGCTCCGCACTCTGGACTGTAAAGGGAGATGGAAAAATAAAACTGCTTGGTGGGAGGAGGCTTACGGTCTTGCGGGGATCTGGGGGAAACCGGTAGTTATTGTGCTGGGTGGTAATACTCCTGCTCCAGCATCAAGTCTTTTACCATTTGATACCCTTGTTGCTGTTGTTACGTGCCATGGAGTCAGTTCTGACACAGAGACCCTGTATAGGGCTTTGGGAGCGGCTGGTGAGGTTGAACCATCGACCTTGCAGTTCAAACCGACTTTGCAGTTTCGCGCATTAACCGGCACCGTTACATGGTTATTTGTATCCTTCCTACTTTATTATTTTTAAACTCAAGCTTCTGAGACACAAACAAAACACTCGGCCCTGCTCATTTGTTTTTATTTTTTAATATCCACATGTCTATACACACTGGTAACGTAGTGGCTGCGAACAGCAAGGTCAGCAGTTCAAAACTACCAGCTGTTCCGCAGGAGAAAGATGAGGCGTTCTGCTCCCGTAAAGATTTACAGCCTCGGAAACCCTGTACAGGGTCGCTATGAGTCTGTTCCAACTCCACGGCGGCACATAACTACCACCAGCATACATGCTGTGGTAGTGTAGTGGTTAAGAATCGGACTGCAAACCTCAAGGTCAGCAGTTTGAAACTACCGGCTGTTCCCTGGGAGAAAGCTAAGGCTTTCTGCTTCCTTAAAGATTTAGAGCCTCGGATACCCTGTACAGGGTGGCTGTGAGTCAGAACCAACTCCACGGCACATAACCACCATCCACCATACACGCTGTAGGGTCAGCACTAGATTGCGTATGAACATGAAGGTTGGCAGTTCAAATTCGCCAGCTCTCCTCGGGAACCAATTTGCAAGGTCGCTATAAGTCGAAACCGACTCAAGGGCATTCAACAACAGTCTATTCTAGGAGCCCTGGTAGCTTAGTGGATTATGAGCTGGGCTGTTAACCTGCAAGGTCAGTAGTTCGACTCTACCAGGCGCTGGTGAAAGATGAGGGTTTCTGTTCCCGGAAAGACTTACAGCCTCAGAAACCCTAAATAGGGTCACTGTTTAGGAACCAACTCCACGGCACACACCATCCACCACCACCACCAGTCTATTCTGGAGTCCTCGTATGGCTCTGTAGGATAAGCACTGGACTGCTAAGTACAAACTCAGCGGTTCAAATCTACCAGCCACTCCTCGGAAACCCTATATAAGCTCACTATGAGTGG